CATGTCCTTATTCAGCAGTACCAGACTGTTATTCTGTTTCATTTTTTTCCTTATGCCTGTAAAGTAGGTATTAGGTTGAATCACATGAAATTGCTGATAGTCAACGATTTTGGGCCTACAAAAATGTCAGTTTCATATGTTCAATCCAGTGTTAAGATCCCCATTTTAGTGATGAGGAACTCAAGGTAGACAAAAGCTGAGTAACTGCCCAGTGACACAGCTTGCAAGACACTCTTGACTTGAACCCAGATCACCTGCATCCACGGAGTAGTGGGGATGAATTTCAGGCCATAAATGTAAATGTACAAGAAATGTTTAATTTTCATTTCCTCTATGTGACCTTAAATGCCGCCAAGTGGTAGAGATTTGACATCAATGAAGTCGAGATTTTTCTCCTCTCACTATTTCCCCCTCATTCCCTAGAATTGTGCCTGGGAGGTGCCTCAGGCCCAGCTGCCCCCATCCTCCCTATCCCAAACCCCTCTGGGATCTCACTGTGTTACCTCAGCTTGGGGGATACCTGTCACCTCTGCCCTCAGACCACTTCACAGACCACTTTCTCTGAAAACACTAATCCTCCTCACCACTGGCTTCCTCACTAGGGCTCCCCGATCCAGACCCTTACAGCTCTCACAAAGCAGACGAGTCCAGCTCTAACATACTGTACACGCTCCAAGCCTGGAGTGCCTTCAGGACACCGGCTTTGAATTTTCAAAAGCTTCCTCTTGTGCCTTCAACAGACTCTTCTCTTAAATAAACCCTTCACTGCTTATGCTTTCAAAGTCTATTTTGAAATACAAAAAAAAAAAAATTTAAATTAACTCTGAGGCCAGCCGAGTGGCTCAGTTGGTTAAGAGCTTGCTCAAGAGCACGAGCTCTGAGCAACAGGGTCGCCAGTTCGATTCCCACATGAGCCAGTGAGCTGTGTCCAATCTGAGCTGCCGCTGAGCCGGTGAGAGCACTGCTCCTAACAACAAGGTCACCTGTTCAAGATAGTAGGTTACACCCGCCCACAACTAAAGACTGAACTTGGCACCTTGAGCTGAGCTGCCGCCTGGGTGGCTCAGGGGATAGAGTGCGCACTCTTAACAACAGGGCTGCCGCTTTGACTCCCGCATGGGATGGTGGCTACGCCCACCCGCAAATAATTGAACACAGCACCTTGAGCAGAGCGGCATGACTAGACTTGGAGCTGAGCTTGCTGCACCCTGCACAGCTAGGACTGAAGAACAACTTGGCTGTTCCTCTCCCCCAATTTCCCAACACTGTTCCTCTCCCCCAACTCCCCAATAAAATCTTTATTAAAAAAATGAATTAACTGTGTTTTTTTTCATTCTTTTCTTAAGGCAAAAAAGGCAAAATAATTAGCAGCCTAAAGGTTGAGAGTGAGGGGAGGGATAGAGATAATGCAAAAGAATAGATGGCAAAAACGGGCAGCATCAGTTAATGTTCAAAATACCATCCTGTGACATACACTAGTTGTTCTTTTCTCAACACAGCTTCTCAGGTAGTTCTCAAACTTGAGAATGTCCAACAACTGCCCAGGGGAGATACACAGAACCCCCCCCCCCTTTATCTGAAGAATGCTACTCTGGACCATGGAAACAGGCTAATCCATATGGATACATTAATTTTCATTTGTGAACACATCCATATAGAAAGAAGAGCTTGCAATTGTAAAAAATGGAAGAAAACTTTGAAGGTGAATAAAATTGAATTACTTTTCCAACCAAACGTCAACCAGCAACCTGGCACTGTTTGAATAGTTCTAAGGTGATAGGGACAGGGGCAGGGAACAAGAAGAAGGGAAGAAGGCACAACGGGTACTTGGACTCACAGGGAAAGTATTTGATCAGACACCTCAAAGATTCAGAGAAACAATTCTAGGAGAAAGGGATAGTAGAATACCATTTCTCCTAAGTACAATAAAAGATGTAAGGCTGGAGGGGGGAAAAAAAGAGAGGTGATGGGGGAGGGTGTGACAGGGCAGAAAGAACTGAAATGGAAGCCAGCTGAATATTTTTACAAGGCATAGACTAAAACAAGAATTGATCCTTTAAAGTAAAAATATTTCACTAGTACAAAGTCTCTAGGCATGCCATTAATGTTTCATTTAGATTACACAGCTTTATCACGCTCACTAGACATTTTTCTAAAAATTCTTTAAAAAGTGCTACACAAACTTCTTGGTCACAGTTTAGAGTATGATTATGGAGTCTCGTATAGACTCATATAACTGTCTTTTCCTGAAGGTTAATTTTGTTCTCTACTTGACCCTGCCACACTGAGAAAATAAACACAACTGTTTCTTCAGCAAGGAGCAACTCTCAAAACTGCTCTAGTTCTTAAAGGAGAGGCAAAAATACCAATGTTCCGAGTTTCTCTTGTAAAAAGTTTTCTTATACAAAGAATACCTCACAGTTTTGTAGTACTTCATGTTTTTAAGGCCCTTTCAGATCCATTACCTCATGTGAATTTCAGTGAATTCTATCATAAAGGGCATTTTCTATATCGTGGGGTTTTTGGGGGGGTTTTGGTTTTTGTTTTTTTAGGGTTTTTTTAAAGATTTTATTGGGGAATTGGGGGAGGGGAACAGCCAAGTTGTTGTCCTTCAATCTTAGTTGTGGAGGGCGCAGCTAGCTCAGCTCTAAGTTCAGTTGCCATCTAGCCACCCGGTGGCAGCTCTCGGCCGCTCAGCTCAAGGTGCCATGTTGAATCTTAGTTCCTGGTAGGCATAGCCCACCATCTCATGCGGGAGTCCAACTGGCAACCTTGTTAGGAACACGTGCTCTCACCAGCTGAGCCATCTTGCCACCTGTTGGCAGCTCAGCTTGGGTGCAGCTCACTGGCCCATGTGGGAATCGAATCAGCGACCCTGTTGCTCAGAGCTTGCACTCTTAACCCACTGAGCCACTCAGCCAGCCCTATAGCATGTGGTTTTTTTTTTTTTTTTTAGCTGAGCCATCCTGCTACCTGTTGGCAGCTCAGCGGCTGCTCAGCTCGGGCTGGACTCGAACCGCTGTTGCTCAGAGCTCAAACTCTTGAGCGAGCTCTTAACCAACTGAGTCACTCGGCCGGCCCCTATATCATGTGTTTTTATACACCACTTTTCCCACTATCAAAACCAATAAAACATTACTTATGGTTAATTAGTTTCTTATACCCTAAATACGCTCTTCCTTTCACTGTTTTCATGTAGTTTTTCCTTTCTCTTTCTTTTTGACTCTCCAAATTTCTAGTCTTTCACTTAGCAAAGTAACATAAGACCTGTAAGACCTAGATGAAGTTCTGGTTGGGATGAATGTCTGGCCCTCTATGTCATAGCCAACTGCCAAGTCATTCTGTTGCGGGGAACCCAGACAAAGAGACAGGACACCAAGGCGTGGGAAGCAACTTTTACTAATGCCGGCACTGGCTCAGTGGATTCACATCCAGAGGCTGAGCCCCGACCTGGGTGGGACTCGGGGCTATATACCCTGAGGTTTCCGGGTTAGCAGCTAAGGTTCCTTATTAGGACATGCAGCCTTGTGCCAGTTCCTGACTGGCTCCCAGGTGAAGTAGGAATTTGGAAATGTTAAACGCGGAAGTCTTGCTGACTATACAGTCCAGGAATGTCTTTGTCTGAAGCCTGCACAAAATCCTTAGTGACCACATGGTCTGGGAAAGCCTTTGTCTAGGGCCCACTGCCACAATTCATTGTAGTGTGAGAGCCACTGTGGTCGATTGAGGCAGTTGAAGGGCATCAGGGGCTATCAACCAAAGTTTGTTTTGTTTTGTTTTGTTTTAAGATTTTATTGGGGAATTGAGAGAGGGGAACAGCGCTGGGGAATCGGGGAAAGGGGAACAGACAAGTTGCTGCCCTTTTGTTCTTCAGTCTAGTTGTGGAGGACGTCGCTTCACTGGTCCATGTTGGTATTATCATTGTGCTCTTACTGGGTGAGGCAGATCGGTCGCCAGCCGCTGGACAGCCGTTCACAGCAGCTCCTGGCAGCTCACACCGGCTGCTGGCCACTCACGCTGACTGCCGGCTACACACAGTAGCTTATGGCAGCCTACTGCAGCAGGGGCTGCAGCCTATGCTCTTGCTGGCGACTCACGGCAGCCTAGCTCCAGGTCAAGCTATTGTTCACCATCTTAGCTGTAGAGGGTGCAGTGTCACTGGCCCTCATGTAGGACCCGAACCAGGGCCCTGCTGCTCAGAGCTGGCATCCCAAGTCAGCTCATAACCAACGTGTCACTTGGCCGGTCCTATCAACCAAAGTTTTAAAGCCAGACTAGACCTGGCTTTGAACCTTGGATTTACCACTTAATAGTGCTGTGGTGTCCTCCACAAAGTGGTGTGATATACATTTAATATCATTTGTGAAGTTTCTAAGTGCAGTAAGTTCCTGCCATATAATAGACATTGAGTGAATGTTCATTCTTCTCCCTTACCTCATAGGAGGACTGTCAAAGTCACCCACAGCTTACATGACAAGGGCTGGGGTTGGATCTTCTTGACAGGTAGAGATGGGAACTCTACCCTCAAACAGTGACCCAGGGTCATTGTGTGCACTGCTAAACTCTGATCGGCCCACCAACCCTGCTAAAACCAGGGCATCTGCTGACACCCAGATGAATGACATAACGCACATCAAGCATGCCGTGAGGCATCTGCATACCATAATTCCAGAATGGCCCAAATGCATATCATAATCCAAAGAAGACCATTCTAATTAGCCCTGTAATTACGCAACAACAAATGCAGATACCACCAGCCAACCAAAGTCACTCAGACATTTTACTTTCCTAACATGGGACAGAAACAGTTTGAGTGTTTTTGTTTTAAAAGATCTACCCACTTTCTCCTTTCCCAAATCTCGACCCTCAAGGACTCCCAGACCTGTGCCTCTTGTCTGGGTCAAGTTCCCTGCTTTTCCACTCAGCACTCCAAACTTTTCCTCTCAGCACTCAGCCTTAGGTCTCTAACTGCCTTCATTTTTTTCTTTAACAACGTACAGGAAGCATTAATGTCTTAGCCTCTGCAGAAAAGCCTTGGTCTTTATTACCCTGTGGAAGAAAGAAAACAAAAGCCCCTGTGAATACCACACAATAGATGCTGATTCTCTGCTGAAGGGAAAGAGCAAGCCGGGAGAGCTGGACTGGAAGGTAGGAAGAAGTTATGTCAACAGGACGACTGATTCCTCTGTGACAGGCAGTTTTGACAAGCATATACAGAGTATGTATGCTGGCCAAATACTGCATTAGACACCAGAGATGGGAAGATGTGTAGAACACGGCCCTGATCCTAAGGACTTCAAAGCCAGGTGGGAAGGACAGATGAAACACATAGCCCCCCTCATCATGTGTTGTGACTGGTGCTCAGAAAGACTCAAAATGAAGTACTTTTGGGTCATAAAGAGGGAGTGGTTAACTCTAATGAAGGATGGGGGTAAGAGAAAGTTTCACACATGAGGGGTAATACTAATGCTAATTAGGATCTCCATGTTGGCTCTAGCCAGAGGTGATTTTGTGAAAATGAAATAAATTATGGAGTTTATTAGCATTTCTGGTCTGTCCCTAAAAAGAATTATTTTATTTTTTTCTTAATGATCTTTTCAATTTATTCATAAATTTGTATTTTCCAGATGCATACATATGTATATCTGTGTTCATATATACACATATATATGTGCATGTGTATATGTATATGTACATGTATATATTAGATATATTGTGCTGTCTTGTGACTCTTCTGCTTCTCTAACATGTTTAAGTGTTTAAATATACTTCTTCTACATATAAATGGTGATTTCTTCTAAATAAACTGAAACTGGGATCACTATGCATTTTATATACATGTATACCTCTTTTGACATTAATTGCCAAAGTACCTGCCTTTCTTCCTACTAAGACTCTCATCTTTTATTTTCTGCTCTGTGTTTCTTTCACCGTGTTTACTGTATAGTTTGCCAGTATTAATAGTCTGTGACTCAGCAACATACCCTTGGATCCCTTCAAAGAAACACCTGGAAAGGCCCCACACTTTGCTCTTAGTATTCAGCCCCTGTTCTTACTTTCAAAACTTCATGCAGTTCTGTAACTTCCAAATAGCTTTGCACTCTGAAAAGTGCTGCTGTCTTCATTGGAAAGAGATGCTCTATGCCCTGCACTGCTCTCTTTATTCACCCTCAAGAGTATTGTCTGTTAATGGCATGTATGCAAAAGCTGTCAGTTTCAACCTGTCTAAAGCTGTCTGTCCTGGAACTCTCTGAGTCGCGCTGATCCAAGGAGAAGGGATTTTCCTGTTCACATTTCAACAGGAAGAGAGCTTGAAGTAGTTTAACCTGGTAAAGTTTCCTTAACTGGACTAAAGACGCTCCTTCTGTGCAGTTCCAGTAAGCGCCCTCCCTAGCTGCTGCTATCTTCAGCATTCCATACCCACCCTGGAGAGGGGGCAGCCTTTGTGGGAGCTTACCTCATATCCCTCTATCATAAAGTCCACAAAAGCACTTTGCAAGCTATAATGCGTGATATAAACATAGTGTATTATTGCAATTGGAAACAGCAACCCATTAAAGAGTAAATTCTTTCTTCATAGATCACAGCCACCCCTCCTTCCTTTATCACCATTTACATGAACTACTTTGGGACTAAGTTGACTTATTCTTTGGACTCATTAAGAGGCCGCCTATAAAACTGCAGACTGGACCAAAGGAGACTTCAACTTTTCAGAAATATTCCTTTATTTTAAAATAATATGATGAACATTGATTAATTCTGGGTTCATGTGTATTTTTATTAGCTATGTTTTCTTCTTCATTTGTAAATGTCTTAAAAGTAAAAAGTTAGAGGGCGGCTGGTTAGCTCAGGTGGTTAGAGCGCAGATTCATAACAACAAGGTTGCCGGTTCGATTCCCACATGGGCCATGGAGCTGTGCCCTCCACAACTAGATTGAAAACAACAACTTGACTTGGAGCTGATGGGTCCTGGAAAAACACACTGTACCCCAATAAAATTTTTTAAAAAAACAGTAAAAAGTTAGGAATCTTCCTGAGCAGAACTGCATACGTGCTAAAATATACATAATTATCGTACAAGAAACAGGGACACAATTCTACTGAATCAACTGGCTCCTAAAGATAAATTCTAAATCTCCCACATTTACTTTTTTCTTTTAAAAACTTTATTTGCTCATTTTTCTTTTTTTTTTTAAAGATTTTTATTGGGGGAATTGGGGGAATGGGAACAGTGCTGGGGAATTGGGGGAAGGGGAACAGACAAGTTGCTGTCGTCTTGTTCTTCAATCTAGTTGTGGAGGACGTTGCTTCACTGGCCCAAGTTGGCACCATCATTGTGCTCTTCTTTGGCGAGGCAGATCAGTCGCCGGCTTCTGGACGGCCGCTCACTGCGGCTGCTGGCCGCTCACGCTGGCTGCTGGCCACACACGGTAGCCCATGGCAACCCACTGCCACAGGGACTGCAGCCTACGCCGTCGCCAGCGACTCATGGCAGCCCAGCTCCAGGTTGAGCTGTTGTTCAGCATCTTAGCTGTGGAGGGCAGTGTCACTGGCCCTCATATGTGGGATCCGAACCGGGTCCCTCTGGCATCCCAAGCGAGTTCTTAACCATCGCGCCACTCGGCTGGCCCTTGCTCATTTTTCTTAGCATCCCCTCCCCTATTTATGTTGAGAATACCCACTGTGCCTATAGAAGCATATTTATAATACAGTAGTCCCCCTTTATCTGTGGTTTTGCTTTCCATGGTCTTAGTTACCTGCAGTCAGCCATGGTCTGAAAATATTGAATGGAGAATTCCAAAAATAAGCAACTCAGTTTTAAATTGCGCACCATTGGGAGTAGTGTGTTGAAATCTCATGAGTCCCTCTCATTCACACCCTAGATGTGACTCATCCCTTTGTCCAGCATCTCTACACTGTAGATGCTCCCCACCCCTTAGTCACTCAGTAGTCATTTTGGTTAGCAGATCGCAGCGCTTGTGTTCAAATAACACTTACTTTACCTAATAATGCCACATTCACATTGTTTCTATTACAGTATATTGTTATAATTGTTCTATTTTATTATTAGTTATTGTCGTTATTCTCTTACTGTGCCTAATACATAAATTAAACTTTATCATAGGTATATATAGGAAAAAACAGTATATGTTGGGTTTGGTTCTATCTGTGGTTTTCAGGCATCCACTTGGGGTCTTGAACGTATCCGTCTCAGATAAGGGGAGGGGAGTGGCTACTGTACAAGGCAACTGGAGACAGTAGGCACTAGGTGCAGACATGGAGAATGGTAAGTCTAATGACTGAAATTTTGTCATGAAAGCATATTAAATTTTCAAAGTGGAATACCAAATTGTACAAGGACTGACAATTAAGTTTGTGAACTTGTGGCAACGATGTTGTTAACCTTTTTTGATATCAGAGAAATTACTCATTATGAATTTTTAGCAACTGGACAAACAATTAACCAAGTTTACTATTTGGAAGTGCTGAAAAGGCTGCATGAAAAAGTTAGACGACCTGAATTTTCGCCAACAATTCATGGCTCTTGCATAACGACAATGCACCAGCTCCCACAGCACTGCCCGTCAGGGAGTTTTTAGCCAGTAAACAAATAACTGTATTGGCATACCCTCCCTACTCACCTGTTCTGGCCCCCAATGACTTCTTTCTTTACCTGAAAATAAAGGAAATATTGAAAGGAAGACATTTTGATGACATTCAGGACATCAAGAGTAATATGACAACAGCTCTGATGGCCATTCCAGAAAGACTTTCAAAATTGCTTCTAAGGGTGGACTAGGTGCTGGCATTGGTGCATAGCTTCCCAAGGGGAGTACTTCAAAAAAGGTGACCATAGTGATATTCAGCAATGAGGTATGTAGCACGTTTTCTAGGATGAGTTCGTGAACTTAATTGTCTGACCTTGTATATTATACTATGATTGAAACTAGGCACAGTTTGTATACATAGTGTGTGTGTGTGTGTGTGTGTGTGTGTGTGTGTGTGTGTGTGTGTGTAGAGGGGGAATAAAATTGGGGAGGAATATGAAGATACAAAAAATTAATGTGTGGTAATATGGGAATTATGGGTGACTTAAAAAAATCTGTTGTGAAAATTTAAAGTCCATTTAGTAATAAAGAAAAATGTTCTTACATTCATATCTTCATGCCACTGAGCTTTCCTTTGCTTCCCATTCTTTTAAGTTTGTGCTTGCTTTTGTGACTCCTGCTTCTGCTTCCCTGGCAGGTGCTCAAGTGTTTGAATGCTGGATGCTATGCTTCTTCTGTTATACACCCCAGCTATACATGGTGAGCTGGAGATGGGTCAGTGTGCAGACTCCTGTCCCTTCTTCCTTACATTTTATTTCTCTTGAGTGTGATCTGTACTGTTAGGTATCATAAGGACCAGCCTTATCTCTTGTTCCCTGATACTCTTTCTCTAGCTTGTCAGTGTAGCAAGGAGACTGCAAGGGAATGTCCTCTTCAATTTCAGCCCTTCATTTGCATGGAGGCCCAGTCTTAAATCTGTCTTGGTGCAAACTTAAAAATCACCTTCCTGATTCTCTTGTTTGGTGTATCCCATAGCTCCTCTAAGCCACCAAGCTACTATGTTTTACCTTTTCATGGTATATTTTGTGCCTTGTGAGTCATGCTCCTGGAACTTGCTTTGCTTTGCAGTAAGATTCACCCCCAAATCAGAGAATGTAGGAATATTAGGGCTCCCCAATTCCCAGTAGCTTTCATTTTACTTTTGAAAATGTCATTAACATATGATATATGGAGGTCAAAGTATGTGTCAAAAATATATAATTATGTGTTAGAATGATACCCACTGAGTTCATGAGAAAGGTTTTGATATAATGATAAACACTGCAGTGGAAGAGAAGTAGAGTCAGCAATTAGCATAGGAGCCTTCAAGGGATTGGCAATGCTTTCTTTTCTTTTTTTTTTTTTTTGAAGGGGAGCAAATGTGTTACAACGTTAATAGTTGATACAGCTGAGCCGTGGATGCATATGTGGTCTTATATTAGTCTCTATTATTGTCTGTGTGCATGAATTATTTCACCATTATTTTAATGTCATTGTATAAACTTATTCCATTGTGCTGGTCATTTGAACTTTTTCATTGAAATCTTACAGAAAGTATCA